TTTGCAAGGATTACTTATTACTTTAAATCAGTTAAAGTTTATATAACCAATTCTCAGCCAATCACTTGAGTGGGTATGAGCCATAGTTGAGACATCATCATGATCAGTAGTGGTTCAGTTCATGTCATGATCTCTTCTTCTTGGTCGTTATCAACATCATCTACGATCGCGAGACGCGCAGAAGCAAAGGTCGGTCCATCAGCGCAAAAGAAGGTAATGTGTACAGTGTTCATTCCTGTATCTTGAAGAAGAACGTAAGCTTTATCGTCTCAACAATGGTATTCGAGTCATGACCCCAATTTGATGGGTCTGCACTACCCGAGGACGTGGCTTCGAGACAAGGTCTCGAAGCGGCTTCCTCGGATCACTGGACGGCCCACAGTTGCGCTGACAGATTCGATATGAGCGGTCTGGTATGTTGTTTGAAGAAACTAAAAGCAAAGAAAAATGTAAGAGCGCTGATATATAGGCGCAATCGCAAAAAGAAAGTTCAGTAAAGCTACAAAACATAGAAGCATTTGCGAGCTGGCTTGTTTCGCACGTGTCGTTCCCCTTTCAAGTACCAGAATACTTCTTACCATCGCAACGGCGTGCTGGGCATTACGGACATTAGGGAGTTTTAGAATACCGTTTGCAAGCGCTGCGGGCGTTGTGGGCGTAGCGGGCGCCATATGAGATTTAGAATAGCGTTTGCCCTGCTGCGATCCGCAACACATGATCGCAGCGACACCGTAGCCTCGAGCCCAGCGCTTGCGGGCCGCCATTACCGCACGCAATTTCGTTTTTTTTTGCGTGTGGTCCGCGAACGCGGACTTGAGTTACGACGCATGCGCAGTGGCAGCGACCGCACCGCAAGGGCTCGCAGTTAGCTATTTTAAAACTCCCTAATATGTCATGCGAGCTTCCTGTACGGTATACCGCTTTCAGTTCATTTCATTGGGCAGCCTTCTGACGTCATATAGGGTGAGGGAAACGCGGTCAGGTGAGCCCGCGAAAATCGAGTTGAGGGCAAGCATTCATTTCAATGTATTTTGATATTTCTACGCTGAATAACTAAATTTGCGCTGCGTGCCCCTGTCGCTGCCGTTCTTGCGGCACGAATCTCTTAAGCCTTCAGTCCACACAATCAGCCAGAAAAAAACACGTAAAACTGTGTGGTCGTGAAAAGTGTTAGATGGCCCCTTCAAGCACTTCATCATCGCAGGACAGATGAGCCATGAGGGGAAGTCACACCAAACCTTCTGTAATGAATCATTCTTAACAACATTTTCTACGAATAAAGCGTTAGTGTCAAGTTTTTTTTTTGTCTGAGATGTAACTTGTTTTCTGAAGCGTCCGCCATAGTGGATTAGTGGCTATGGCGCTCTGTTGTTGACCCGAAGGTCACGGGTTCGACCCTGACCGCGGCGGCTGCATCACAGCGGAGGCGAACAGCTTGCCTGTTGTGTGATGTCACCGCACGTTAAAAAAAAACTATGAGGTCAAAATTACCGGAGTCCTCCACTACGGCGGGTTTCACAATCATGTCGTGGTTTTCGGACGTAAAAAACCAAGATATTATTACTAACACTTTTTGAGCATGGATTGACATAATCTGTCTTCGCACAGGAAATCAGCGAAGGCCGTATTGAACTTTTTGCGTGGTAGTGGCCTATTGAATAGGCTATAGCACCCCAGCTCACTTTTTTCTTCTTTTCTCTTCGCACGTCTATTTTGTTCTTCGCTTTCTTTCCCATCTTTATTACACATTCTCCCTTCCCTTGGTGCATGGTAGCAAACCGGATGCTCCAATTTTTCGTTAACCTCCCCAGTCCTTCCCTAATTTTATTCTCTCTCTCTCTCTCTCTTGAGCATGGCCAGCAAACGTTGCGGATCGACAGTTGAGGCTGCCGAGAACACGCGAGCCTAATATTATAGATCTGCACGAGGCCTGGAATCTGAAATGAATTCTCAAAGTCGGCCAGATATCACATTCCTTTCTCTCTACAAACGACGTCATATACGCAAGTCTACGGCCATTGGCTGATTTTATCTTCGTGAGTAGCAGCAGTTACCGTGGCCACCACGTGATGCTGCCACGTGCTCACTCGTGGTCACACTTAAAGTAAGCCGCGTGCTAAAAACAACAGAAAAAAAAATTGCCCGCAGCTTCCCTCGGGGGAACACTGAGGAGGATGCGGACCATATAATTGGTTAACGGGGTGTTAAAGTGCGACTTACTTGGGTCAATGGCTAAATTGGTTAACGTGGTTGTGAAATGGGGTGTTAAATTGCGACTTACTTGGGTCGATGGCTAAATTGGTTAACGTGGTTGTCGGAGGGGGTGTTAAATGAGTGAACACGTACACACGTATGCGAAAGGGCGGCGCTGGTCGAAGGGACGTCGATAATTGTGTTTGTGGATTCGTTGGAATTAATTTCACCGCGACCTTGGACGTCGACGCGCCGTACAAACCAACCGACGAGCGGCAACTGAGCGAGCGAGCGCCGACCTTGAGTATATATACAGCCCGACGGCGCATGCACTGTCAGCTGTTGAATGTTCTCGAAGCGCGACGCCACATGCGCGTCCACTGGAGAATCAGGAGAATTGTAGATGTCGAACGCGGTGTGTAGAGGAGGAAGGGTGCACAGATGGTGGAGGAGTGAAGCGCGCGCGGTGTGTAGAGGAGGAAGGGATGCACAGATGGTGGAAGAGTGGGCGACGGCGCATGCGCGCGCGTCAGCTGTCGAATGTTCGAGAAGCGGTGCGGACGGCGCACTACAAGGCGCGAGTATAAGATGCTTCCGCATCTAAAATGGTCAAGGTCATGACGCGCTTGTCTTCTTGACATCCCCTCCAGGCGTATCTTTCAGCGCGCTTGCTAGTACGAGAGGGGAGAGAACACGCCTGGAGCATGCGACAAGTCTTTCATTCCGCTCGTACTTGGTGGATTTGAAGAATGTTCACGGCGTGTGATTTGTGAAGCGCCATGCGCCAATAGTGAGGCTATTTCATTTTGTGTCGGAAAAATATTGCGAGGCCCCATTAAGGCAGTGCTGTGGCCACTGTTTTCTGTAAAGACATTACAATACCCGAGCCTATGGCATGGCTTCCATTTGTGTTTTGTACCGGAAGTCAGTGGCTCATCCAGTGCGTCGCACACCAAAGCTGTAGTGCCCCCCCCCCCACCCGAAATGTTTTTCACCATGGCATACACAGTGCAAAATGATCATTTACCTGTCCCCCCCCCTTCAGATCAGGCAGGTGCCCCCACTCACGAAATAAACTACGCCCCAGCCAAAATATACAGATATTGTTAACCATATATGCTGAAAGCATTGACCTGCGTATTAGGTGGGGGTGGGGGGAGGGGGTGTTCTAATTATCTAACAGGGCACCATTTCTGCCCATACGTTTGCCCAGTCGAACCTTTCATTAGTTAAAATACAGGGTTGTGGCCATGCAGGCTTTTGAGGATAATGACGCTCGAGAAGACCTATACCACCCGGAATCATATCGCGGTTTGTGGCCGTAAAAAGGACGACTGTTATTATTATTATTATTATTATTATTATTATTATATTATTATTCGAATCCGGAAATCTAACACAGGCCTTTGTGAGAAGCACATCATTACCTCATTTCAATTTTGCTTCTATTGTGAAGCTTGTTTTATCTTTTCTCAGCTAGACCAATTAGATTATATAGGAGGGGCTGCACTGTGACAACAATCCACCCCCCCTCCGCCCCCCAGCGCGCAAGATTCGGCTTAACGTTCATAAAGTGTGTAAAACAACATTAATGGCAGCGGCATGTCCTTTTTTTTAATGAACGAATATGAGCGCTTTTGTAGAGTTACATGGGATAATGAAGGAATTGGCTGCTAGCCTTTGTTCGCATAACACTAAAATGTTACTTCCACATTAACTGCTTCACCCTTGCGGCGATAGACGTTTTATATCCTAATGCATTTCTTAGTCGGGCTATGTCAGGCGTCCGTTGGGATCCGTACATCGCCTTGTCTCTTAGTAACAGCTACGGGCGCGCGCGCTTATCCTTACGCCTATCAACTGGAGCATGTGTTGCGAGGATGGGTAGGTGCAGTGCTTCGCCACTCTTTCTCTCGCCGTTCACTTTCTCCTCCCTGCGCCCCACTTTCCCATCCGTTCGCGCCTCACTCTCGACCGTTCGCTGGCTGGGCGTCTCTCAAGAACATCCGGAAATGTGTGCTCAAGACGCCACTGTAAAACGCCTACGTAGAGCCGAGAACGCTTTTTGTTTTGTGCACTTCACAGTATTTTTTAAGCGTGCACGCTAGCTACTAGATCTGGAAGCGCATACTGTGTTTCTCACGACAGAAAAACGCCACGTGCGGCGAATGGCGCTATTGGCTGCACGGTGCAAAAAATAAAAGAAAACATTATTCTGGTAAGTTGTGTTTTCACGTGCATGCGAAACGCCGTTATGGACGCTATTCACTGCATTCGCATTTCCTCACGGTTCCCTTCAAGGAGGGGGGGGGGGCATTTTTTTCTTGAATGCGAAAGACTTGATGTCTCATCAAACGCGATCATTTACCATCGGTAACGCGAGTTATGAAAAAAAGGTAATCACGCGCAAACGTCACCATATGACGTCATCATGTCATCACATATCTCCAACCGTTCTGACGTCATTACAACGTCACCGCGATGACACATGACGTAATCACATCATGCCATCTCTCGGTCAAAGGTGGGCTGATCACGGAGGCAATGCATAACCGAGTGAGAGGCAGAATGTTTCAATGTCTCCGATCTTGGAGGCAGTGTGAAACCACATTACGTGCGGAAACGTTTCGGAGGGGGCGGGGAAGAACGAATACGTACACTAAGAAGATAAAAAAAATGGCTTTTACCTCGGAGTCGTCCAGACCTTGTGAATTTTTCTGGGCACTGTACGCGCCCTCTACGCAGGTGTCACCCTCTTGACCAACGCCGTTCAAAGTTTTCGCCCGGTTCTCGCGATCAGACCGAAGATGCTTCACACCGCGAAACCCACGGGATTGCTCAAGCGCGATCGTATCTTCGAGGTGAGCTTCAGCGACTACGTCAACACCATCAACGGACTCTTCAACTTCCTCGAAGTGGTAAGGAATGTCCACATTCTAACCATGCTTTTTTTAAGTGCTCAGAGGCGAGGCTTTTCGTCTATCTATAGACCTCATGTAGCGTGGTCACGCTCGAGGTCAAGTGGTCAATACATGACTATAACAAGGCTAGCAATGCCCAAAATCGGATGGAAACAAAACGAACGAGGTCTATAATAACACTACTAGCAGAAATAAAGAAGCAATCGCAACAATTAACTTAAAACTGCTAAAACCATTTTGAAGGAAAGAATAATAAATTAAAGGGCTTGTTTTTTGTTAGACACAATATATATAACACAATAATTGTTTCAAAAATAAGCTTCAGTTGTAAGTTCATCACTCATCCGTGTTTCTTAATTCCTTTGTTTTGTCCCTTGTTTCACTTTTGTCATTATACATGACATATAATTATGCCAAGGAGAGTATAGGTGGTCTTATTAGAAGTCATTGTAATGTAATTGTGAAGAAAGAACTTGCGACTGACTTTGGCGCTGCTCAAGAGAGGGCGCCGCAATCGCTGTAGGCATCCTAAGGTCCCTAGATAAAGCTCCTCCCTCTTGAACTGCACCGGCGCGTGGTTGCTACACTTAAAGGGAGAAAGCTTACGGAACTCGTTGCAAGCTACGCGTATCTCAACTGTCTTTACAAGTTGGAAGTCGATAATGCACAGCAGAAAGCAGCGAACACGTCATACACCGAGGGTGTGTTGCAATACTCACCGCAGACGGCTTAATAGACAGCTAAGTGGACAGTGGCTAACTTAAGTCCCATTCCAATTCTTTCGTAGCCGGCAAAATAGACTGCTTCGAGAAGACAGCCTCGTAGACAAAAAAGGTGTAGGCTATTTTGTTGTCCAAACAAGATGGCGGCTCAGCGACCTGCTCGAATCTAGCCGGAATTGTCGTCTGCACATACTCAGACGCTTTTCCAGACGCCCATGGAACGTGAGCTTTGTTCGAATGTGCGATGATTTGAAAACGAAATAAGCTAGAAAAATGACAGTTACCTTTGTTTATCTTGGCTTTTTCTTCTCGACACAAGGTGCCGTCACGTCGCGTGTTAACCATCCAGACTTGTTCCATTTCTCGGACAGCATGGGCTTGATGCTGTCTTCTAAGCCGTCAACGTAGACTGTCTACGATGCTGTCTACAATCGGAACACAGTCCGAATGTGCGAATCTCTTGTACAATACTCCACTCCTGTCTGGGAAATCGAACATGCTCACTTCTTGCATTGTCGTCATCGACGGTTTGCTAAATGGATATAGCTGGGAACACTACGAACGGTAATCGCTGGGTGCTCGCGCTACGTACTTACTCAAGCTTCACAGAAGTGACGCTGCATTTCAAGGTAAACTGGTGTGTGCAAATAAAAACAACTACACAGAAAACACCGGGAAGGGACAAGCTCAAACTGTGCCCTTGTCTTCATTTGCTCACGCCAGTTTCGCTTGAGGTACGAACCAACTCGCCCATCTGAAAGTTTTGCTGAAGCTGCATTTAGCGCAGAATTTGAATCTCAACCAATCGCTACGCAAGAACGAAGTTTTCCCCACTTTTAACGGGCAATAATGTATACTATACATGTAGTCGAGGGCCTTGCTAAGCGTTGACGTCTGGGTCAGGTGGTCCTGGTAAATACTGTGAGATATTTCAGCGGCTAAGACAGAGGGGTAGAGGAAAAAAATTAAACTAGCTGCACGTAGCAGACACTGATGAAACAGCAAAGCTGTTGGCTTAGGAAGACACCTTCGCCCCGCCAATCATTTCAGCTCCTTGAATGAAATAAAGCGGACTGAAGTGGAATGAAATTGGTAAATGATGCATGTAACTGAATGTGGAAGGAGTAGCGGGGGTGGAAGTTGGCGTAGGGGAGAGTGGTGTAAATCGTTAGTAGTCGCAGCTACCCGTCTTCGATCTACGACAGCCTCAGAACACGAAACCCTCGACAGAGGAAAGCTTTGCTGTGAAAAGGCACAATGCAGGCGCCAGACACACAACGCTCTCCCTTCCTGTCCTGTCCGCGTTGTTGTATAGCGAGCACAATGTTTTATGGAGAGCTTTGGTATATCCTGCAATAAAACACGTGTACCTGAACGCGATGGCCATCAGCCACTCTTATCCCGGTCATTATTCCGACATGTGGGACTTAATCAAGCGAGGACACTACATCATTCCTATATGGGACTAACCTAAGGCAATTCCACAGGGCCGTGCAATCACTAATGATAAGCGAGAACCCATGCGTCTCAGCGTGGATGCAGAGGAACTGCTCTCTGCAATTCGAGCAGCCGGGGACAATGAGGCCTCCAGATCCTTATAAGAAAGTTTCATCCTCCCCTTCTTACCTTTTGTGCGTTAGCGAGTTCTACCGACATCTAGACAGAAAAAGCGATGCATTTTGTTCGGCTGCAATGTGTGACATCATTGGCATTTTCATGCTGTGTGATGTTATTGACGCACGCACATTCTTAATCAGGTCCTGGTTGAAGTGTTACACCACACGCGCCTAGGCGGTTAAACACGGCTTGTCGAGCGATAGCAGCGACTACCGCAGGAAGCGTGTGGTGGCGGTGTCCCGAGCTGTAAGCTGAGGCACAATGTCCATATCTATGTTCGTATTGCCGGCTCGGGAGCCACTTGACAGGCGTTCAGGTCTCGAGGCGCGCTTGCTTGCACGCCGACTGACGGAGTGCGCGGGAGAGGAGAACAAACCGACACTGCGCTCGCCCGTTGCTATGACGACAAACGTGCGCGGAGGAAAATGAGGAAATTGATGTTAACCGGGCTACAACGTCAAACGCATGCATAAACCCCTCTTTTGACTTTGTACAGGGAGGACCAGTAATGTTACTCTTAAATGTCAAGTTTATATATCTGGCAATTTGAGAAAACCGTGACTTAGAGTGTACCACGAGTTGTTTCGGGAACTGCTCAAGAAGACATTGCCGAAGTAGGTAATCAGGCTGTATTCTAAAGTACTCATTTATTTTATTTATGGTGAAATCATTTGAAGGCATTGATGTATGGGGATTTTACACATGAAAAATAAAGTGCCAATAGTAATTACCATGTAAGCATGTCGAGAGCGAACACGGCCAACGTAAACAGCAGCGTAAAAATATTATTGCAAAGTAAGCACACAAAGAGCAAACACACCCGTAGCAAACGCACGAATAGTAATTTCCTAAAGAGAGTAGGTTATGAACATCAGGATACGTGCTATCGCAAATGATGCTGTCTCTGGGCCCTTTACAAACGCTTTATCATACGTCAGCACCACGACCTGGGGTAGTCGCAGTATTGGTTCGCAGTTTGTGCCACCTACAGGCTCCCTTAAGCGTTGTAGTACCTGCTTGCATAACTACAGTCTTGTAGAAACATGCTAAAGTGAAGCATATATCAGCCCATACGGTGTGTCGCAATCGTTAGCGTAGTCTGTGTGCCAACGCTTATTGTCTTGGCACGCTCGTACGTGACTTCGCAGTGCGGGGGCTTCGTGGTCTTCCTGATGATGGATCAGACCCACACGCGGTCAGAGAGCCTCTTGAAGGCCTCTTCGTACACCTTCTTCTACAACGGCTTATTCATGCTACTGTCGAGCATACTGAGCGCCACCTCGGCCTACTACCTGCCTGGGCTGTTCTACGTGAGTAAAGAGTGCTTTCCTTTACTATTGTACACGTAGCTACAAGGCGTAAACCAGGCGTGCTGCTTTGCAAACAAGAAAATTTGCCTATTTCTGAAAGACATATATTTATAGCAGTTATATGGATACTAGAAGCGTGCTTTTGCCGTCGCCGTCATGTTCCCTTTAAAGTTCGAATCGATGATGTCAGCCCGCGCGTCGCATGTCTAAGTGCGAGACAAAACTAGTGAATGAGGCAGGTGGCCGGGGTTCAAGCAGAGGTAAAACGGTACGACTGGCTCCTACGGGTGGAGAAGCATGAATGGATGAGTGTGGAGGGGGGGAAGAAGGGGAGAGGATGTGCATTGCGAGGGCCAGGCCTGTAACCAGTTAGGGGAGGGTGCCCCTGGTGTTTGCTCCCACCAAAAATATTTTGGATGGGACGGGTGTCTTACCGAGGACAAATAATGAATGTAGGTGCTTTTCAAGGCCTTCAACATGTAAGACCCCGCGCGCCTCAGAAGGCCTGGTTAGGGCATCAAACAGATTCATCAAAAGGGCTAATTTTAGCTTCATTTGAACTAAGGACGGACAACATGGGCAGAACGTTGCGCTCCTCAGTCTACTCCGTTCATTCCTTTATTGCCCACATTTAGCCCAACATAACATACATCAAGACATGCCTCGATTCGTCAGCAAGTTTTGAGATATTTCATCAAAACGGTACAGTCGAGCGTGTTATCTCGATTGGTATCAGCAGACAGCTCATACCTTTGTTCGCGCTGTGCTCTCGCCGCTCACAGACAGCGCGAAAACCCTGCAGCGGCGGTATTCCCTTGTGCCAGTATTTCGTAGAGCTACGCCAGATCTTGCCTAGTGTAGTTAGGTGCTGGCCTGGCATCGTAGATCACTCCGATTTGTTGCTACCACACTAATACATTTGCAAATGAGGTGAAACTGTGACTTTCGTGTAAAGCCCGTCTTTCATTGCGGCTTGCAGTACGTGATATACGAAGGCACAGGTGCCGTCCTCTACATATTCAACTGCCTCATGATCGTCCGAGAATCGCATGACACAGGCTTGACTCCGGTATGTGTATACGTTCGCCGCTGTTCAATCGGTTTTCCCGACACGGCACCATACGTTGTGCCACACATGCCTGTCTGTCTGTCTGTCTGTCTGTCCGCCCGTCCGTCCGTCCGTCCGTATCTATCTATCTATCTATCTATCTATCTATCTATCTATCTATCTATCTATCTATCTATCTATCTGCATATCTATCTATCTATCTATCTATCTATCTATCTATCTATCTATCTATCTATCTATCTATCTATCTATCTATCTATCTATCTATCTATCTATCTATCTATCTATCTATCTATCTATCTGCATATCTATCTATCTGCATATCTATCTATCTATCTATCTATCTATCTATCTATCTATCTATCTATCTATCTGTCTGTCTCTGTCTGTCTGTCTGTCTGTCTGTCTGTCTGTCTGTCTGTCTGTCTGTCTGTCTTCTGTCTGTCTATTCTATCTATCTATCTATCTATCTATCTATCTATCTATCTATCTATCTATCTATCTATCTATCTATCTGTCTGTCTGTCTGTCTGTCTGTCTGTCTGTCTGTCTGTCTGTCTGTCTGTCTGTTCATTTCTTTTGATTCCGTGCGTCATGACATCTCAATTCATGAACTGGATATTCGATAGTGATATTGAAGCACCTTAGGTCTGCGACAAAATCGTGGAATCGTCTATGTTTCAATGTTGTGCATTGATTTGTTCTTCCATATTCCAGATGGTGGGCCTGATGACGGGCGGCATGCACGCCTTCCACTGCGCCTACTCGACGTACAAGAACTACTACGAGTAACAACTACGACAAAGCGATGCGCGACGAAACGTCCCATTGTCTCGGCGCGATTTCATCGTTGCAATGCATAATCGCGATTAAACAAAATCGGCAGATTCCTCGTACATTGAGAATCAATGTTGTGCGAAGCATGCGGAGGAAAAAAATGACTGTATTGTAATACTTTTATTGCAGCGAAGCGTTACGAAATGACGCTAAAGATATGTACGAATGTTGCACGCACAGACATATGTTCAACAGTCGCATGTTTACTGTTGCGTAACGATGTTAACAGCAACATGGGTATTAGCGACACCAGAAGCGGTACGCTGATATGCATCGCTTGTGCCAGCGAGGATTGAATAGCGAAGATTTTGCTCACAAGTGACGTTTCACGAACATTACAATCCACTTCAAAAGCACTTCCGAGACCTAGCGTGGCTGTGTGGTGGAATACTTGATTGCCACACAGAATGCTGGGGTTCGATTCTTGCTGGAACCATGATGTCTGTTCAATGCGTTCGTTGGGTCAACGCTGCCGATACCAGCTTTTAAGGATGGAGCTTCTTAGGGCCGACCTAATTGTCGTCCATTACGTCCCACAAAACCCAAACCGAAACTGAACACCTGCACAACAAGAAACGACAAATATTTGTAAGCAACTGGACCTTACGTGTAATCAACTATACGACAGAACAATGCGTGATCACCCGCGCTGTTCGTCTTTGCGTCCGTCCGCGCGTTCGAGTGTCCATTCAGTACATTGTGCTTAACTACAGTTTATCTTAACCCGACGTGACGGCTGTATTGTAGGAGTACATATGCAATGTTCATAAAAATGGATAGCCATCATTGCGTCTCCACTCGCCCCGCCACAGTGGTCTAGTGGCTAAGGTACTCGGCTGCTGACCCATAGGTCGCGGGATCGAATCCCGGTGGCGGCTGCTACATTTTCGACGGCGGTGAAAATGCTGCAGGTCCATGTGTTCAGATTTGGGTGCGCGTTAGAACCCCAGGTGGTCGGTATTTCCGGAGCCCTCCTCTACGGCGTCTCTCACAATCATATGCTAGTTTTGGAACGGTAAACCCCACATATCAATTAATCAATCAATCAATCTGCATCCCCAACCGACGCTTCTCGAGCATTACATACGATTTGAAAAGCTGTTGCGAGACCTGGTGCAGCTCTCGTGGTAGAATATTTGGTTGCCACGCAGAATGCTGGTGTTCGATTCCTTGCTGGCACCTTCACATGTTTTTTTTTTTAATCGTTGTGTCAACGCAGCCGATGCCAGCTTATCTTTTTCTTATCGCTCATGTGTTAAAATTACGCCATTTGTGTTCTCGCCGTACCTTGGTATATAATCAGTGTCAATCACCCGTGGAGCATACCCGCATACCAATGGCACATACACGCCCGTAGGCATGTGCCACTATCTTTGACGACGTACGTGACGAGATTAGGACATTATTCATGCCATGCCAACGAGTCGTGTTCGTCAAAACATCTTACCCTTTCATACGATTTTTGGTCTCCCGGGTTAAGGGCGTGATCAGGAGAGCACCCTGACGTAGGCGGATAGATAGATAGATAGATAGATAGATAGATAGATAGATAGATAGATAGATAGATAGATAGATAGATAGATAGATAGATAGATAGACAGACAGACAGACAGACAGACAGACAGACAGACAGACAGACAGACACAGACAGACAGACAGACACAGACAGACAGATAGACACAGACAGACAGACAGACAGACAGACAGACAGACAGACAGACAGACAGACAGACAGACAGACAGACAGACAGACAGACAGACAGACAGATAGATAGATAGATAGATAGATAGATAGATAGATAGATAGATAGATAGATAGATAGATAGATAGATAGATAGATAGATAGATAGATAGATAGATACGCCAAAAGTACTTGCAGTACGCAAAGAAATGCTTCACATTCGAAACGTAATCGGTATACCACGCAGCCTCCGAGTGCCATCCATCGACCAACCCACGACGTGTTTAGCCACTGCATCCCAGCTGCAACACTTGACGAAGAGTCACGTGACGTGAGCGGAAACGTAAGGGATGACGTCATTGTAAGAACAGCACGTCGTTGTCGACTCCGGCATGAATGAAGGAAAGCACCTGGAGAGAGCGTCACTCCACTAGCCTCGAGAAGTCAATCTCCCCCCATCCTGACCAGTATGTGCAGCCTTCTGGGTAGAGCTAGACCTCCGCAGTAGACGCAACGAGAGCGATTTCACCAATAGTGCGCATCTGTCCCGTCTTTTTTTTCTTTATGTGAGCTTTTTTTCTCCAAATGAAGCACAAACTCGCTCTACATTCCTTTCGCCTAAATAGTATAGCGCCTGTCTGTCACACCACCACGTCCTATTTCCCTCTTGTAAGTTTTGCATAACTAAGGTTCACGATTACCGTGTGATGCTTCCTCCTATTTTGTTTTTCTTTCATCGTCTTGTAGTCAGGTCGTATTCAAAAGAGCTTAGCTGAAGTCCTCACCTCGCATAACATTTCGATTTGTATCGCATTCGGTGCTTCGCCCTGCGGCGATGCTGTCACGACTTGTGTCGAATTGAAAGGAGAGGACACCGCTTCGTGGAGTAATCGTTTATTAAACACCGTTCATCTAGCTCTGCCACGCTTGAGAACTTATGTACAATGCACGCATATGTACGGGCTCGAGTCGCATACACCCAACCGCGTCTAAACCAAAGAGCGCGCCGCACGGTTGTGGTGTCCGTCCCAGTCGCACGCAGGAGTCGTCTCACGCATCCATGGCAAGTCCGGTGTACTGCGAAAGACATGAGCACCGCCATCTTACAAAGTGAAGCCAAAATCATATTCAGTAATTTCCACACTATGAAAACGACCGCGCAGCGAAACTAAGCACGTGCCTTTAGTATATCTGATGGGCTTGCGAGATCACGCAGTGTCCACTACTACATTTGAAATACGCGCGCCCACACTGTATCGGTGAAAGCGAGATCACGTGACCCGGAAGGGGAGAGGGGGCTCAGGAATGGCGTTCCAGTGAACACTTCGCACTACGTGATCTGCCGCCCTGGAATCCTGCCAAGTGTGCCGCTCCCTGTTGCTCACGCAGCCGGATGCCTTGCCCTGGTTCGTTCCAATAATGTAAGTTTCTAATCAACTTTAGTAATAAGAGTACAAATTACTTTCGTTCCTTGGTTTTGTTCCAAGAAAAGCATCATCAGCGTTATCATTTTCAGCATCATCGTGATCATCATTTCTTTTTGTCAATTTCTTTATTCACTCCCCTGGTCATTTAACTGCATGGCGCTACTATTATTTTACTACTACTACTACCATTACGAACGGTCACGATTTCGACTTCCAAGCAATCCATATTTATGAAACTTCTGGTTTTCTTTGTCATCTTGACTTTGCTGAAGTACTTCCGTGACGGAAATACGTCAGTGAAGGTACACAAAGCTTTCCTCGCGCATTTCTGTGACGGAAATACGTCAGAGAAGTCTTAGTGGACCACGGCATAAAACACTTTCGTGTTAAAAAGATCTAGATACTAAAGTTACTTTGAAGGGACACTAAAGGCAACTAATACGTCGACGTTGATTGTTGAAATAGCGGTCCAGCAACCTCGTAGTGTTACTTTTGTGCCGAGAAATCACCATAACCCGATGCGGGCCACTTAAACCCGCCTCAAGAAGCGGACCGACCGGACCGACTCACGCCATTATGTTGCCGTGCACAACGTTGCCCAGCTTTACTACGCTAGTAGCAGCAAACTGAAAGCAGCGGGATCCACAGCAGCAACAACGGCCATTGATGGATTTCCCACCATTGACTCCGAGATCGCAGACGTTTTTTTTATTCAACTGCGCCCTGCTAGATGGCACCACATGTCCAGTGCAACTCCGTGAAAATTGAATTTTCGAACCACTCACGCTAATCCCGCCCACAGTAACGTCCGGCGGTTCTTTTTTCCAGGAATCAAACAGAAACGAACAGGCAGCATTTCATAGCGTCTCTTGATGCGCGTTATGTTCTTTATTAAGTGCAGCTAGATCGTTTACTAGTGATTAATTGTAGGTGGTTCGTCTGATGTCATCGGGATCATTTTGAGAATGTCCTACTGCGGCGTATGTTTTCTTGCGCATTTACCTCAATTTCTGGGCAAGTAGGGCACTGTTGTTGGTAATATTGTCGTTTTAGATGTCATACCTTCAGCTTTCACTCTGACGAAAATTTTTATTTGACTTTAGTGCACCTTTAAGAGCACAACTATCGAAAGACAGACGAAGCGTGCGCGCACTCACAATTTCGACGGTGTGCGTTTGCAGGTTCCGGCTGACCGAGATGGGCTTGATGGTCTTGTCGGTGGTGTTCCTGGTCAGGGTAACCGACACGGGCTTGGCCGGATTCGGGGCTCCGAGCAGCGATATGACCATCCGGTTCGCGTGTATGCGCACCACGACGGTCATCTGCTGGTTTTCCTGCAACTGTTTCAGCTCGGCAGCCAGCTTGCCGTCGTACGACACGTGGATCCTGCGAGAGCGACGACACATCGCGAGAAACAAAGATGGCGGCCGGGCGCGAACTTGGAGCGTATACCGTACTCCGAAAAAGGAACAACACAAACAAGCAAGTAATTGGTTATTCAAGAACAACAACTTATTCGAAGGCTCGTTCGCTTTTAGGGACCCCAAACCACCTCCTATTTTACCAGCGAAGCAGTTCTCGGTCGAGTTGATGACACCGAATATATGTTCCAACCACGCAGGGGGGGGGGGACATTTAGAAGCGCTTTCTGTAAAAAAAAAAAAACGTGGTAGCGATTGCGTTAGCCCCACCGCTGTTTGTCAAGGTACTCGGCTGCCGACCCGCAGGTCGCATTTTTGACTCCATCGAAAATGCTGTAGGCGCACAGATTTGGGTGCAAGAACTCCAGATGGTCGAAATTTTCGGAGCACGCCACTAAGGCATCTCACAATCATGTGGTGGTTTTGGGACGTGAAACCCCACACGTCAATCAGCGATTGCGTTAGTCAGACCTCTATTGTCTTGTTCGCCTCGGAACATGCGTTTCTTGAGTCGTACTGCTGATGTGTA